CAGTTCTGGGAACCCCAACTACTCTTGGGTCTGTTTTGAATACTAATATAAAAACTAAATTCTGATGTCACATGCCACCTGTGCTGGTGCTGAGAGATGCTTTGGATGTTGTTAGTGTGAAACAGTGTGAAGTGTTTGCTAAGTGAAAATGAGATATGAGTGGGCAATGTTACGTTAGCAAGATAGATCAATGTTAGGCTGCACAGGATGATTTAGAGGAAACAGAAAAGGGAGAAAAAGGATAAATCTAATGGCCTGCCTCATGGTCTAGTTTGTACCATATTCGAACCTGCAATATTGCATTGGCATCAGTACATTACACTGTTAACACACACACTGGAGGATGCTCCAAGCAAAATAAATGGAGATCTCCTCCAAGAGAAAAGGACTTTAAAAGCCTTGGATAGCTGGGGTAAGCAAAATACAACATCCAAACAATCAGTGAGAAGCAGGGTAGGACATAATAGCAACTCCAGAGTTGGAGAGAGCAAACGCTCATGACACAAGTTAGCGTGGGGTGCTGGCTTGGAAAATAGACAAGGGCTGTTTGCGTCTGAAAGCTGCCGAGTCCAGATCCAGAAGTCTCTTCAGTCAAAGCGGAAGGAGATCTGTCGCCTGTGACACATGCGCCAAGACGAAGCAGAACTCCTAACGAATGCCACTGGAGGGCCAGTCGGACAAAAGCTCCTGCGAGTGGGTGTATGTCTTCCTCTTGCATTTGTTACTTGCATGTTGAACTTACTCTGCAGTGACACTTCTGCTTGTGGTCTGTGTGGATCTAGATATTTCATGTAGTTCCAAGCTCTGGCATTTCCTTTGGAGTCCAGTGGAAAATTTTACAAGGAATCGGTTGGCTACTGATTCTGTATTTCCCAGTCCTTGGCTAATACTTGCATGCCTCCTGCTTTGTGCACCTGTGCTATTTACAATCACTGACTTCCATTCAGTCTCCCCTCCATATACGTGGGGAAGAAAATTAGGACTTCAGCATTTATTTCTAATATACCCACTGCTTCCCATCTGCATTTCTCTATTCTCCCCAAGGGAAACGCTGCACAGGAGCATGAGAGACTGACCTGGTGTTTAACAGCTCTTGCTGGCTCTAGGGGTGATCTCTCTCTCCCAAAAGCCTTGAAAGCATTCAGGCCATGCAAATCAAGGAGTTAGTTTAGGACAATTCCACTGGAGAATGAGAAGTAGGCTTGAAAAACGTAAGGTTAAATTTCATCAGCTAACACTTTACTAGGCTTTCCATGGTTCTAATCCATTTTGCTTGAGACATGCAATTTACTCACAGAGAAGCTGCTTCATTTGCTTCGGTGCTCACTATTTAAGTACCTGTGTTGAAGTAGTTCATTGTTTAAATGAGGCTTTACAATGTAAGGGTTCGGGAAACATACACAGAGAAACCAGTCAGGTCCTGAAAGGTCCTGCTGAAAGCTTTGTTAATTTTTGTGAGAGACAATATTTGGTATAAGAGATGTCAGTGTAAAACTGTAGTGGTAAGTGTATAACAGGTTATGTTTAACACACGGAAGACACAATGTTTCTGTAAGAGGAGCAGTGACAGCAGTCAACCTTGAGAGGCATTCATTTTAGAGTCAGAGGTGTTTGAAAACTAGGCAACAGCAACAATTTAGCATCCTATATGCTGGTAAGCCATTTACCAAGCCAAGACATGATTTTCCAAGAACCTCAAGGTAGTATTTGTTAACACTGATTCTGATGTTACGATACAGGAGCAGTGTAAATACTACGCACCAGAAGAAGGCACTCCAAGTCCATCACAGCAAATGGGATTGGATAATCGTTGTAAAAAATAAAATTGTCATGGAGAGACAGTCAAACAGAAGAGAGGTAATTTCCATCAATGAAGTCCTCTGCGCGTCATTTTCTCACTCTTGTCAAACCAGAGACATTTTAAGTCTATGAATGGCCACTGTTCTCTGCTAGAATGTTGTCCTGGTTTCGTCTGGGCTAGAGTTAATTTCTTTCCTAGTAGCTGGTACAGTGCTGTGTTTTGGATTTAGGACGAGAACAAAGCTGATAACACACCCATGTTTTAGTTGTTGCTAGGTAATGCTTACACTAGTCAAGGACTTTTCAGCTTCCCATGCTCTACCGACTGAGAAGGCTGGAGGTGCACAAGAAGCTGGGAGGGGGCACAGCCAGGACAGCTGACCCAAACTGGCCAAAGGGACATTCCATACCATATGACGTCATGCTCAGCATATAAAGCTGGGGGAAGAAGGAGGAAGGGGGGGACGTT